CTGAACTGGGACAGGACTGGCTGTGGCTTCCTCTTTTCCCCTTTCTCTCCAAGGTGCACAAAGTTCTGCCCAAAGTGTCCTCCTATTCTTTCCAGCCTGCATTTTCTTCCTCAACCTGTCATTCCTGCTGGGATGTTGCTGTAACCCCACCTCACCAGCTCTGAGGAAATGAGTTTTCTTCACTCCAGAGGTGCCCTCGAGGAAGGGCCAGCAGCCCCTTCTCTGCTGGGAATCCACTCCAGCATCACCTCGCCCATTCATCATTTCCTTGGACATTACAAGAGAATCAGTCCACTTAAAACAGGATTATTTCTGGGTGGCAAACTGCAAAGTTAATTTGGCTCTAATCCCTTTAAACAGAACCAGTAATTGGAGTGAAAATGACTCTCCTGGAGGGCTCTCCTTACCAGGGCACGGGAAGGTCTGTGGGCAGATGAGCCTGACCTCCTGCCTGGCACAGCAGGGACAGCACGGGCACGGCACTGGTGAGGGCACCAGGATGAGCAATTCTCCTTCACAAGGGGCCACAGCACTGGGGCAGGACCCCCACTCACCCCCAGAGCAGCAGGACCCTCCTGCCTGCCCCGTGTCCCTCACTGCCTGCTTCCAGAGAAAGAGCCTGAGAATAAACAGCTTTAATCATACAATCCCCACTTCCTATTACTAATAATATTATCATCATGATATTAAGCCAGTTAATTCTTTCTCTCAATTTATTTGCTTTTGTTTTTGTACTCCCATGTTGTAATTTTCAATTTAATTAGTTTCAGTGTTTCTGAGGGCAATAGGTCTTGGTTTATCTTTGCAGCTAATAGTCCTAATTGTTTACCCTTTCTTTGGCAATATCTCATTAACTTTATGGGCCATCATTTCCATGGCACCTCCAGAATTAATTCCCTCACTCTTTGAACCATCTTCCTAAAATCTTCGCGGCTTTTTCCTTCCCTAATCCTGCCTGACCTTGCCCATCCTTGCTGGCTGCTCTTGTGGCTCAGCACTGCTGGGTCCCACCAAGCCCCAGGGCAGCAGGTGGAGGATGGACCTCCCCTCTTTACAGCGAAACCTCTGGCTCTTACTCTGTCCTTGGGCAGAGTCCTGCATCTGCCAGCTGGTCACTGTGGTCAGCTCTCCTCTCTTTGTGTCCTCCCACAAGGGCTTCTTCTCCTCTAGACTGGTTTTGGTCATTGTTTCTGTCTTTAAGTCTGGAGTCATCCTGCTGCGAAGGGGTCTGGATATTCCCCTCAGCTTCAGTGACTGCAAAATTTCATCCTTCTCTCAAGCAAAGGAAAAGCTGCTGGGAAGCCAAGGCATTCCATCACTCTGAGGCAGCTGATGAAGTGCAGGTTCGTTAGCCCTGCACTGGCCCCTCGAGAAAGCTTGATGTTGGGATTTGGGAGAGGTGGCCGTGCTGTTGGGCACCCCTTGCTCTGGGCAGAGCTCACAGACAGCTTCCCTGCCCCAGCTCCTGCCTTCAGACCCCATTAATCACACTCCTAATGACTTTGTGTTCACAGATGAGATGTTTTTGGCCGGAGAGGCAAACTGTAGATGATATCTCCCATTGATTGTTCCACCTCGTTTGAATGATGTGTACCAGGAAATGAGTCTGAATTTTCAGCTCAAATCATGTTTGGAGGGTGGGCTTGGAACCTGGAGGGGCCCATTTGGCTGTAGTGATTGCAATGCCATGGGAACATTCCCCGTTCCACAGTCAGCTTCACCCTCGGGTCCAGTCTCACCTGTGTCAGAGGGTGGCACCACTCCTGGCTGCCCACCCGGCTGGAGGGGCAGAGCAGCACAGGCTTTCCTGGCTGTGGGAGAATGCCAGGAATCTCTCTGGGTTGCAGCTGCCTGCTCAGCACCAGAACATGATTTCCCATTAAGCAGACAGGGAGGGATCTGCTGGTGGCCGCTGCGAGGGCACCTGAATTATTGATTGGAACACAGCTCCAGCCGAGGCACTGAAGGCAGCGAGAGCAGCTCCTTCTCAGCAAACCTCACCCAGCTTGTGGCAAATCCACTGACCAAGCCCCCCAGGTGCTGCCTGCACAGCCCAGGCTTCACGGGGAGAGTTCATGGAGGCAAAGGCCATGGCAGGGAAAAGACAGCTGGAAATGTCCCCGGTGGTCACAGGCATTTGGATAAATGGCTCTGAGGAGCAGCTGAGGGAAGGAGAGCATTCCTAAAGCTCCTCAGTCTGCTACAAGAGGATTTTGCTGGGGCTGAGGCTGGCACTGGCGTGCAAAGTGCACGGGGGCGAACAAACACACGTTCGTGCAACATATGGACAGACACACACAAAGTACAAACCAGCCATATGGGCACACGCTGCTGCCAAATTCACTCCATGCTTTCCTTTGGTTATTTTTGATCTTCCATGGGCTGCTCCAAAAGTGCTGGGTCTCCATCCTGCAGATCCCAGGCCCAGCACTAACTCCCACCTCGCTTGCTCTAGGCCAATCTGAGCATTTTCTGGATGCTTCCATTCCTTAAATTTCGTTGTGTTTGCCTGCCAGCTTGCACAGGGTTTCAAAAAAGATTTCTCTAGGGTTGGTGGGTGGGCAGGCAGATCTGATCCAAACTGGGAGAGGTGGCAGTGCCGGGGAGGCGTATGGAGAATGAGCCAGATGTGGCAGCAGAGGATTCTGGAAGGCAAGTGGCAGCATTTCTCTAACCCCATATTGACTTTGGCATCCAGAATCAATTTTCTTTATTAGCTGATGAATCTCCTCAAAAGACTTTCTGTACTGAATCTAGATAAATTATTTAACCAGTAAATTCTTTCTGCTCTAGCGCTGGGATTTCATGGAGAAGAGTAGCAGAGAGGGGTGAAGGGCCAAGGTCACTGCCAGCAGAACAGCAGAGCAGGAATGGGTTTGCTAATAAGTGACCAGCTGAGAGCAACTGTAAAACAAGCCATTAATAAGAAACAGGTTTTTGACAAAATGCTGGGATTAGCAGTGAATACAAGGAGCAAGTCATGGGAGACTGTAGCCTTAATTATTCATGCAAGCAAATTGCTGCGGATGGAGGGAGAGCACAGTGCTGATGTGGGCAGGAGCAGGCAGTGGACGTGAGGCGGGTTGTCACCTGCTCTGGATGAGCAGCAACCATGGGAAGAGATGCTCCAGCCTCCACAGGGATACAGGGATGGGCAATGCCCACGTGGTGTCAGGGGTGCTGCATGTGGGAGGACGAGCTCCATGGATTTTGGGACCTTGACTGCCCACTCGAGCATTGTGTTTGCAGCACTGTGAGCACCTGGATAACCACCTGGAGAGCAGTGGTGAGGGCTGGCACGGGAAGGGTGCTCCACCCCGCTGCCCTGCCTTCCCCAAGGCCTGCTGTGAGTATCTCATTTGCTGTGTAAAATCAGGCTTCACGCGCTTGTCAGGGCCAGGCAGCTTCAAGGCCAACACTAACTGATGAGCCACAGAGCAAGAAATAATTCTGCCTCCAAGAATAATGCTGGCTCACGAGGTCAGAGTATTCCAACATATTTATAGCCAGTAAAGAAAACGATTGTGTTAAACGGCAGCTGAAGTACACGGAGACCCAGCCAGAGCTGCTGTCTGTGGCCATTCGTTATTCTACTGGGAGCACAACCGTGCAGCTCCCTCGCATCCCGAGGACTTCACAGCAATCCCTCTGGGCAGCCACTTTGGGGATCGAAAGGTGGATGTGTATTTCCTGCAGGATGAAAGGAGGCTGCACCTCCCAGGCTGCCCTGGGGCTCGTGGGGATTGGCAGGTGTGGGGCAGTGGTGGTGCTGAGCAGAGGAGTAGGGGGGCCCTGCAGGTGTGGAGCTCTTCTGTGTACATCCCCCCATTTTCCATCACCACTGTGTTTATACACAGCGCCCAGGACAGGCAGAGGGACTCAGAGTTCCTCACTGCCTGTCTCCTTATGGAAACCACACAGAGATGAGTTCGACCTGGTTCCAATAATCAGCTATAAATAGCAAGCTCAATTAAGCCAACCAAACAAAGGCAATGATGGATACCTGCTGGGGAGCCCCTGGGGGACGGGGGGCAGGGAGCCTGGGCTTTGCTTGTGCAAACACCATGTTTTTATGTAAAGCTACCAGCAGTGGGTTAGGCACAAGACACCAACCACACACACACACAAAGCAAACTGCAAAACATCCATCCCAATGGGGCTAAAGTGGTGCAGTGCCTGGCCCTGAGCATCACCCACTGGGTCACAGCCCAAGTCCAGCTCCTCTTCAAAGCCCCTCTCTCACCGCTGGCAGTGGCTGCTGTCCCAGCCTGTGGATCACTTGGGATCAGAGCTTTGCTGTCTGCATAAGCAGCCTGGCAGCCCAGCTAAGAAGCACACAGGTGCCAGTTCTTTGACTCTGGTCTGCAGGGAGCAGAGGTGCAGTGGTGAGTGGCTGCAGAGATGGGTGCTTGGCTGGGTCTCTCTCATCCCACCAGCATGCCCTGGCCACTCTTTAGGGAGCTCATCAGTGTTCCCATTTTCCCCACAGCAGCCAGAGTTTGGAAGCACCAGGAACTGAGCAGATAAATTTGAAGTACACACAACTCACAGTGTGTACATCAACCCCAATTTATTCAGAATGAGCAGCTCAGACACGCTTGTAGCAGCTTCGAGAGCATGTTTATCAGCCAGGCTACTTGGGAGATCATTGCCATTGATTGCCATGTCATTGTCACTCCTGGGGCACAATGGGAGGCCAGGGGAGTGAGATGACATTGTTGGCAGGAACCAGAGAGGTGGGGAGCTGAGGTTTCCTAGAAGGGCACGTATGTTCAGTCAGGCAGAGCTGTGATGCTCCTTGGTGCTCTGAGCTGCCTCATAGGGAGTAGAGACCCCAAAAAATTCTGAGCTCCGGAGACCCAGAAATGACAGCATGCCTGGCCAAAAGCATTTGTTTTTTATTTCTATTTGTGTATGGATTGCTGTAGTGCCACCTGTGAGGACAACACAGGGGGGTTTAATAAGGAGAGAAGAAAATCCCACCTGATGGCAGCAGAAACAAAAAACGCTCTGCAGAAAGGAGTCAGACAAAGGTGAGCTGAGGACTGGAAAAATCTCTCCCCAAAGGGAATTAAAGAGCTCAGTCTGTTGAGCTTATTAGAAAGAGCAGGACTGAGAATTTGCCCCCGGGCATGGAAGTTACAGCCCTGCAGGGCTGCCAGGGACAGGGGAGCATGAAAAAACCCAAAGGATGGGACTCCTCAATTCAAAAGCGAGGCCTTTTCTTCCAGTAGCACCAATGGGCTGTTACTGATGCTGAGAGGAGTGACGGGCAGTGACAGCCCAAGGAGGACTCTCTCAGCTCTCCTGACAGCGGAGCTGGGGGGAGGGCTCAGCCAGGAAGCAGGGAAGGCACTGGTCAGAACAAGAGGCTGTGGGTGCTGCTTATAGCCAGAAAGGATCAGCCACAGAACCCTTTAATCTTTACTCAGACTCCTCATTCCTAATCCTGACCTTCTGGGTACAGCTGTGGATCGGTAGATCTCCAAGGATTGGATCACTCAGGTCACTGTTGCTGTCCCCTTTTTGGGAGACCAGCAGGTTGAAGCCAGTGCTCAGCTGTCCAAAAATTAGTCTCTAAATAACCTGGCAGGCAGGGACATGGTGGGGCAGGGTGGGATTGTGGCCAGGGCAGCCTGGCAGCAATTGCTCACTGGTGGAGCAGCAGGAGAGACTCCTGGGAAATGAACGGAGCCGCAATTCCTCTTGGTGAAACTCACAGCAGAATGACTCGGTTTGTAGTCACCGTGGGCTCTGGCTTGTTTGCCTGTTTGCTCTCTGCTCATCGCATTTCCAGCTGCTCTTGTGTGTATTTGCACTTCGCAGGCTTTAATTGGGATGGCTGAGCAAAGCCCGTCCGCAGCCGGCAATGCTGCGGTGATAAGTAACAGGAGGCACAAATTAGAACAAATAAATCTGAATCCAATTCAATTCCTTGTGCAATCAGGAAGATCAACACGTCAAATTGTGGGCACTATAAATTAAAAGCTGCCAAGGAGACAGTGGAAGGCGCTGCCTGGCTGCTGTGGCTGGCGTTCAAAAGGCTTTTCTTCCTCGCAGAGTGAGTGAGAGCCTGTGAGATGAACAGCGGGATCTTCCCTCCACCACCAGGAAGGCTTTTCGCCACCAGAAAATTTCTTTCAGCAGATATGAAAAGCCTCTGCTGCGGGTCACGGCGAAGGTGGGTTTGTGCTGCTGAGGGAGGCCCAGGGCGGGCCGTGTGGGGTGAGTGTGGCACTGGTCTCCTTCCTGCATCATCACTAGCTGGTTTTAGTCCATTCTCCTGCAATAAACAGGTGTGCACAGGTCAGCTCTGCAGTGCAGCTCCAGAGGCTGTTTTTTTCCCTGAGCATCGCAGCCCAGGGCCTCCTGCACAGAGAAGAGAGGATGAGGGGGGGATCTCACCCCTGATTCAGAAGTTAAGGCTTTTCTGGTTGATTAGTGCACTTCAAAGGGTGAAAATGTTCCAAAATACTGTGAAAAAAATTCAAATCAGTGTATTGCAGAGGACACACAGGCAGATAAACACCCAGGAGGCTCACAGGCGTGCTTGGTGCTGCAGCATTTTTCATGTCCCTTTGGCTGTTACCTGGCTCTGTTTGATCCATGAAACCGTCTCTGCCGCAGGGCCCAAAACACGTGGCACATGGGGAGGAGGGGTAGAACACACCTGGAGCATAAGCAGAGCTGTCATCTGCTGAGAGCTGTGTCCACCTCCAAGCTATGAGCACTTCCCTGGTCATTGCTTCCATGCCCGCCATGTGCCGTTGGCTTTTTCACCTCTCAGCTGCCATCTGAGTTTTACTGGATTCTTGTGTTTAAAATTACAAGCAGGTCCTTGGAATTGGCATTGGCTGTTTTAAAGATGTGCTGCATCTTCGTGTGTCACGCCAGCACGAGCCAAGCACATTAGAAGCTGCTGGATAATAGGCAATTACTGCTCTTAAACAGACGAGGCATTCACGAGCGGAATGGGCTGCATCTTAAATCATCCATAAATCCTCTAATAGTGCTTCTATTAATACCTGGTTTCTGGCACATTCCTAATGATTTCATTCCTTATCAAAGCACTGCTTTTCCTTGGCTTCTGGGGAGAGGAGGTGAAGGCAGGAGCCAGTGTGGAGCTCCATGAGGGAAGCCCAGGCAGCCCAGGCTGGCGTTGGCTGCATCATCACAGGCAGTGGCACAGCTGTGCCACACCAGAGGGATGCCCCCAGACCAGGGGGCTGCAGGAGTGGGCAGGCAGGGTGAGGGAAGCTCTGCCTCCACCCCACAGGCATCATCCTCCTTCCACAGCATTGCTGGGGTCTCTGTTTCACAAGGCTTTCTGATGTAGGGCACCTCGGCTCTGGCTTCCCCATGCTGCCACTGCACAGGCAGCACCTTTGGGATGGGGATGAGGCTTTAGAGCCAACACAATCTCCCTGGTGTTCTGGCTGGTGTCAGAGAAGCCCAGAGGGCACCCTGAAATTTGGATTCTCTGTGGACACAGCTGCACTCGGCGTGTGGGACTGGTTGTAAACAGCGCTCATCCTCCCTGCTGAACCATTACACACTCCAGAGGACGAGCGTGTACAATTCACGTCTCATTAAAGTTTTTTGAAATATTATCTTTTTCTTCTTCCCTGCGTTTTCCCCCTATTAAGCTGAAATTGTGCTTCCTTCGGAGAATACGAGTCATTTGTTACCATAACAACTCTTCATCCTGAGCGTGGCAACGCTCCCCTCCCTGAAAAACACACTGGCCCTGGTGCAGGCAGGACCCTGGTGTGGGCAGGACCCCCAGCACTGCTGCGGATCCATGGTTGCCAGGCTTCCACATGGTCATTTATGACCTGGCTCTGAGTGTTGGAGGATTTGAGCTGCCCCTGGCATTGCTGGCACAGAGCCCCATGTGCAGCATGTCCTTGGCAGGAGCAGGTCAACATCTTCACCTGCCAGCCCTGCCCCATACACTCTGGTCCCACAGCATGAGACTCTTCATTTCTGGTGGTTCAAATTATTTTTTCCCTTGTCCCAGAAGCTGACCTGACCCCAAAGGAAAAGCATGGCTCTAAGAACCTTCTCCAGGTGCTGCCTTTTGGAAAGTCCCCATCCTGTTCCTGGATCTTTGCTGTGCCAGGGTATAACTCTGCCATGTTCATGTGAAAATTAAACATGAGAGATGAAGCCATTAAATTTGATTCACTTCCATACATCAAAATAGCCCCTGGAAGCTCAGTCCATGGAAAAAGTAGGATTTTTCAGAAATGAGAGTGGTGCACAGTGTTAATGCCCCACCTTTCTGAATCTTCCTGACACCATTCAGCTTTACTAGGTCCATAAAAGAAATTAAAATACAGTTAAAATGGATTTCTTAAATGGGCTTGTAAAAGCTTTTGATGGAAGAACCACTTTATCCTTCTAACTTTTTTATGACATCTATTCCCACTTTTCCTTTCACTATGAACTTTTAATGACTTTGGATTTTTTTTACAAACCAACTCATTTGTAACTCCCTGCAGACACCTTTACACTGTGGTGTAAATCCTGTAGCAAAGCCAGATCTCAGAGACACAGTTAGGACAGATCCCTCAGGATCCTGTGCCAGGATGTCCAGGGACCGGCTCTTCAGGCTGCTCCTTCCAGAAGAGCTTGGGATCGACCACCAGACACCTTCAAAAGTGCTAAATGTTATTATTATGATATTACCAAACTACACTGTGTGTTTCTAATGTCATTATCCTAATGTCAGTATGACAAGGGTGGTGATGATGATGGTGATGATGTTGATGATGATGGTGGGGATGTTGGCTGTTGCATCTCTCCAGCTGTGCCTGGGTAGAGCATCAAGGAGGTGATAGGTCCTCAGTGGTGCCGGGGGACAGGAAGGGTTCAGGGCTGTGGTGCCACCCATCATCTCTCCCATCCAGGCAGGAGACATAGTCCAGCTGCTCAGTGCCACAGTGCTGAAATAAAGATGATTAAGGAGATATTCCAGCCTCTTCTTTTCTCCCTCTCCTCAGTAAATGTCATGCTTCAGGGGAGTATAGCCAAGAAAAGTTCAAAGTAATAATATCAGAAATCTGCTTCTCTTTTCCTTTTGACATTTTATTGTGATATGAAATAGCAGGGGATAAAAGCTCTAATGGGGATATTTGGTTCTTTCTTTCGGAGAGCATTTGAAGCGCTGGCTGGTTATGACTCACATGGATTATGATATATGCAAATCTTTAAGGGCCTCATTCACAAAGCCAAGGCAACCACGCCGCTCTTCCAGGGGATTTACTCAATGGGAGATAAAGCCTGGGTGACTGATGCCCAGGGTCCCCACTCTTCACCAGGCCTCTTCCACACGTCTCCAGCTCTTGTCCCAGCTGGGAAGGCTGATCCTGAGGATGGTGGGGCTGTGACTGAGCTCATCAGCACGGCAGTGCCCATGGAGAGGATGGATGGCTTCGTGGGGAAAACCAGGCCATCTCCCACCCTGCCTTCCATGGGAGAGAGCTGCACCCAGCACCCACTTTCTCCAATTTAGGCACAAGCTGTTTCTCCATGGACCGCTTTGATGATATTTCTGTGTCAGCTTTAAACCAGATATTTCACACTCATAAACACTGGCGAGTAACCAGGCTGTAAAATACAACTTTAATAATGTTAACTGGGAATGTGCAGGCAGTCTTGTTGATTGGTGTAGGGGAAACCGGGTTGATTTAAAAAATATAATAACCCCCTCGTTCCACATTGAATCCTCTCGTAATTAGAAGCTGTTATTGCTCTCCAACAAATAATCTTCCGAATGAAGTCCATTCCACAGAGAGTGATCAAAGGGTGATTTAATTAAATTTTCATGTTTAATTTTCCTTTTTCATTCCTGACTTTTTCGTTTTATTCTCTTGCAACTGCTGTTGGATGAGGGAGAGGGGCAGGTGGGAGCATGGGAGTGGCTGGGTCCTGCCCTGCTCTGGATGGGGCATCCTTCCTCTGGGTGTGCCCAGGTGCTGACATCCAGTTGGGACCTCATGGTATGAACCACCAGAGCGCAGGTTTCCTCTTCGTGGTGTCTTGGTTTTAGTTATCTGGTCCACAGCCAGCTTAAATGTAATACTTAATTTAGAGCAATAACACTTAAATTATGAATTGTCTGCTGTAAGTATAAATTATACATTTTGGAGATGAATATTCAGGTCCTAATTCAAAGCAGCAGATGTGGCATGGAAATGTTTGCATGCAGACACGATTCCAAGCCATGATTGGGTTTGATTTTCCCCGGGAATCCTTGGCAGATCCTCCCTGGCAGAACTGAGAGTCCATTTGGGGCCTCCAGGACTACCCCTCGTGACCCCAGGTTTGTTTGCTCTGTGCCTTTGGAGGGGGGGATTGGTTTGGGGGGCAGCACGGCCGGACACGGTGGGAGGTCGGTGTCTGTCCATGCGCGGTGATGAACCGATGCCATCGGGGACATGACTGTCACGGGGCTGAACACGATCAGCACCAGGTAGCACCTGAGCTGAACTTGGCCATGGACATCCAGGAGGGACCTTTGCCAGCTCTGAAGGGGCCATTTCTGGGGAGAAGCTCAGCCGTGCGCCAGCGCTCCTCCCATCGGCACGTTCCGTCTCCGGTTTGCGCTCACGAGGAAACGGGAGATTGCAGATTAAGGGAATACACACAGGCTCTTCTCTGGGATAAGACTCCTCCGACCCAGCCTGTGCTGCTGCTCTGGCTGAGCCAGAGCCTCCCTGCGCTGCTGCTGATGTTGCTAAAGAATTCATCAAAGTGACAAGGCTACAAAAGCCGCGCGTTACCGCTCCTCCGTTCCCTTGCCACTCACCGGAAAATAAGGCCCCTGCTGAGCTGCATATGATCCGTTTCAATTATTTTTTAATTTTCAACGTGTTAGTCAAACTCCGACACGCAGAGAAAAAGGAAAAATTCATGCAAAGTACCCTCGAAAACTCCTGTTCGGGTAAAAAGCTCTTCTGCTATGAATACGCAATGGCTCCTGGAGCTACTGGTGAGTTAGTGTGCATTTACAGAAACTGCATTTACATACAAATATGATTTCAGCCAGCATTTGGAGGTGGAGAGGGATCTCCTTTCTTCCCCCAGCCACGGACTGATTCTGCTCTCACTGGTTTAGATGCTTGCATTAAGACATCTGCTGACACGCATCTGTTTCATAAGAGCATGGATAAGGAGCGTGCTTTGCAGCCTGCAGCGTTCCTCCCCCTTTTTTCTAATCATGCAAATAATCTTTCCTCAGGGACTAACTGCTGTGTCCGTGGGCACTGGGATGTGGGTGGGAAGGAGCTGTGGGTGGGATGGGGATGCAGGAGGGATGGAAACGTGCGTGGGATGGAGATGCAGGTGGGATGGGGATGTGGATGGGGATGTGGGATGGGGATATGGGCAGCAGCTGCTCCTGGGCCTCAAGGAACATCTGTGCCAGCCAGTTAGGCAGAGCTGGACTGGTGCTGTGCAAACTTCAGGGGTTTGCATTCAGCTCTGGGGCTGGCAACAGCCTCGTTCTACTGGTGCCAGAGATGGGCAGGAGAGAGTGTGGCAGGTCCTCATCCCCAGGCTGAGCCCAGCGGTGGCCTTCTCCAGTGGTCACACTGGCAATGCTCAGCTGCTGGAACACAGAGCAACGGAATCCCAGTCCAGCTCAACGTTTGCTCACAATGCTGGAGCTGCTCTGCCTGGCCCCTACATGGCCTCTGTGAGCCAGAGCACTCTCTGCTCTGCCTCCATCCCCAAATTTAGCAGACACTGAAGGGAGGTCCCAGCTTCCCAGCACATCTCCACAGTACACGGTTCTGAGCTACCTGTGGAACCGTCCCCTGGCAGGGAGATTGCCCTTTCTCCACCACTCTGCACTGGGTTTTCCAGATCAGACTGTGTCAGTGTTAATGCCAGTGCCAGGCTGCCTCCCAGCCATGGCTCTGGGGCTTTGCCCCATGCTGAAGGACACTGGGTGCTCTCCGTGCTCATCTCACACCACACCCTGCCTGCTCCTTCTCCCTTTCCTGGTCAGTTCCCACCAACCACTCACAAGATACATTCCTGCCCTCATGCTCCCCACAGTCTCAGCTTCTACACAAATACTTTGCTGATAAATAAAGGAAAAACCTTTATTTTTAGCTTTGCTTTTTCACTGAAATACAGAGAATTCCCCTCAGACCTCTCAGAAATGAATAGCAGAGAAAGTTTCTCTCCAGTTCATCTGAACGATGCTCAACTGAGGGGGTGGAAAATTACTGAAAAACTTTAATAGTAAGTAAGAAAAAAATCTTAAATTCATCCTTTATGGCATTTTTAATCACATTGGGCATGATTCATTTCACATGCAAATCCAGCCCTGCGCTCTCTGTGCCGCTAAAGCATCTGACTTCAAAATATCGCAGCACAAAACCGCTTCAGCAGATTCAGATCTTCACCAAAAAGCAGCCAGAATTCTAATTTGACTTTGAAATTGGGGATTCCTTTTGCGAGGGGGAAATAGTGGGCGTATCAGACCCTGACACGGCAGCTTTCCCTCTCCAGCAGTGGGTCAGGACAGCTCTCATCACTGCAGGGGTTTGTGTCCCCACTGTTGCAGCAGCAGCTTGCTCTGTCTGGGCCTCCCCAGGTGCTCTGCAGGTATCTTTCATCTCAACATTGGGCAATCCAGCAGCTGCCTCTCTCCATTCACCTCTCAAGTATAAAGAAATAGGTCACCCTGGGACGGGTGGGAGCAGGGTTCTCTGTCGGGGATGGGCTCCCTGAGGCAGCATTGGTGCCGTGCTCACTGCCTGTGCTGCCTCCCAGCCCTGCCTCATCCCAGGGCTGGATCTGCCCATCAGTCCATCCCCAGGTCCTGGGTGCAGGGGGAGGACTGCCTGCCTGGGCATGAAAGCCCAGAGCTCCACAAAGCTCTGCTGTGCTTCAGGCTCCCCTCCCCTGGAAACACAGACCTTCCTTCCCTCACCGCTCATCACATGTGCCAACACCGAAACTTTGGCCAAAAAGGGTTTTTATCAATTTCTTTTTCATTAAGAAAAAAAGCCACTCAAACTCTCTCAAGGCTCCTCTGATGGGGAAGCTGGGTGCAGCAGGGCTTTTATCAGCTCATTTTTCTTCCTTAGATTTTAGTCCAACCTGATTGCTCTTTTCTCCTGCAATGCTCCTTCCTGTCTGTGGGATAAATAAGGCATGAAGCGTTTAATTGATCAATAGGGACATAATGAAGTGGCCACCGTGCCCTGACAGAGGCTCGGTCAGAGGGGACCACGGGCTCTGCACAGTCCAGTGTCTGTGAGGGACACGGCTCCAGTGTCCACTGCAGCTGGAGGCTCATCAAACATTTAGTGAGGCACTCTCAAACAGAGTTAGCTGAGGTAGAAAAGGGAAATGGTGACCTGCATCTGAGCTGCCCCATAGCACTGATGTAAAAAACCCAAATCCTTCAATTCCAGCAGCACCATGGCTAGAAGGATGAGGGGAAAACCAGCCCCTTGCTGTGAAAGGTGTGGATAAAGCCACTGACAGCTTTCTTCAGCTGAAGGGAGGTGGGGATGTTTCCAAGTGTCAGATTTTCTGTCTTACTTGTTCTCTTACTGCATTTCCCACCTCTTTCTTCTGGAAAAATACCATGAAAGGAAGAAGATTTGTTCAATGTTCAGATTTGCATTGAAACCCCAAGAAGAGGTGACAGGCCAGGCTGCACCCAGCTGGGAGCTCGCCTGAGGGTGAAGGTGTTTCTCTGTGTGAAGATGAAAATGGCATTTTTTACATCGGTTTTGGCTCTGATTTGGACACAGTTTCCCATAAGGAGATAAAATATTTAAAAACAAGTATATGAAAGAGAAAGTCAGCCTTTATTAAAATGACTTCATCATTTGAGACTGATGCTTTCAAGTACTCTTGTAATTCATCCTTATAGATATAAAATTATCATCTGAAGGAAGATTGTTAATAAAACTGACACTTCCCCATCAGTCAACTTAATTCACAATATCACATTTTCCAAATCCAATTATGCCTGTCTGATGACTGACGTTCGCTTCAGTGTTATTGTTCATGTGGAAAAGTGGATACAGAAGTCACATGCAAGGAATCTGGGAAACGCTGGGACAGCTCTCTCTGGATAACTTCAACCACCCCAGTGTGAGCTCTCCAGGACCTGGCTCTGCCCAGCAGTGACAGATGAAGGTTCTGAGCAGCCAGCATGTGTTTCTCAAGCTTTTTCGACACTGGCTTGATAATTTTCCATGAGTGATCAAATGCTTTACCCAAGCCACTGGTTTCCTACCAGCTTCTTGTGGTAATGGAATTTTTAATTTTTACATTTGGATCTAAAATGAGGAACTTACATTCCTATAAAGGACTTTTTGTTCAAACCAGAAGAGTTGGCTATCTCACAGAGTAACTGATCCTTCACTGGGGGACAGAAGGTACTTCTGTGAAATTGTTACTCCATCAACTCCAGGAGCACTGAGACACAGTGACCGACTGCATCCTGGGCATCGACCAGGGAAGGTCCAGTAGCCACTGAAAAACAGGTTATAGATGTTTTCCAGGCCACGTTATGTGTGGAAAACTGCATTCTCTGCAGGGCTCTGTCTGACAGTTGTGTTCCTCAGTGGGATGGGATTCTGGGAAGGACCCTGCCAGCTGTTTGGGGAGCATGGGCTTCATTCCTGTGCAGCATCTGCTTCCCATATTCACTGTAGACTGGGGCAGCTCCACTGCCAGGTTCAGACCTCCAGGTTGCTCTCTCTTCATTCCCTCTCCCCATCAGCAGGAGCCCATCCATCCTGTCCTCCTTGGGGACCCCAACACAAGCGCATCCCCTTGGGAAGAGCACGCTTGACTGAAGTCAGGCGGATGCAGCACCACAGAAGCGATCGCATGGCAACAATTGCCAGGGAGACCGAGCTCGGCTCTGCAGCTCCGTCAGCAACTTCACCGAGGCCAGGATGGTCCCAAATCTCCCCACTCGAGCCCCAAATCTCCCTGCTCTCTGTGCTTTGTGCACCTTCCCCCTCGGTGCAAAACCCACAAAAAACAAGATAGCAGAGGGGCATCAGGCATCTGCAGAGTCCCAGGATTGGCAGGGAAGGTGTAACTCGCCTTTCCCTGCCCTTCAGCTCCGAGCATAAATAATTCCAATTGGCACAGCCGGGTACCACCTGCCATGGGAGCAGGGAGTACATTTGGGGTCACAGCTGCTCAGCTTGGGTTTTTCTCTCAGTGTCAACCAAGAGCGATTGGAAAATGACGGGGAGCCTCATACACTGGGAGACTGCTTTTGGAACTGTCCTGGGGCTGTATTTTATCAGTCTCATCCCCCTCATGTGCTCACCCCACCTGCAGCATCCCAGCAGGCCTGGGGTGGGGGTGGCAGTAACTGTGCTGCTGGCACTGCTCGGGGACCCTGGGCAGCCATGGACATCACAGAGCCACAGTCTGCCCTGAGCACCCAGCCGAGCTGCCTCTGGTTAAGATGGGATAAAACCCTAAATTCTTGCCTCAAGGACAGCATCAGAGAAAGCTGAATTCCCAGCAGTCATGGCTATGTCTGTCCTGTGCAGGAGAAACCAGGGATGGGCATTTCCTAGCAGAAAACCCCATGGCCTTGCAGTAGGAGAACAAACGGGGCCTGGCACAGGACTCAATTTACTTGGAAAGGCTGTGGGGCCCAGAACACACGAAGCAGATGGATGGCTGGAAGAGCTGAGCTCGTTTGTCTTGCTGCCCTGCTAAAAATATCCATGTGTGCTTCTCTGGAGGGTGGAAGAGTTCCCTTCCTGCACAGTGGTTCTGAAATTAACCCCTTGCAGCTGGCTCTGGCCATGCATGGTTCTGTGGGCAACTCCAGCTCGTGCTACCCACTTCCTGAAGGAAGCAGGGAAAGCTGGCAATGCTGTGGTGTGCACCAGCTCCATACTTGGCATTCTGCAGTTGCCATGGGAACCAAAGATGCTGCTGACAGCACTGCCAGGGCTAGGGGTCAGCGTGGGACCTGTCCCAGAGGAGGTTTGTGATGGCCAGAGAGCACAGGGCTACAGGAGGGACAGACAGTCCTTGAGGCTGAGGGGAGCTGAAAGACCTTTCCTATGGGTGTTTTCAGGGCATGTGTAACTAGGACAAAAAAATCCTGGGGTGTTTCCCAGCCACTGGCTACCAGTGCACCCAGGGCTGAGAGCTCCCCTGAAGCCTGGCAAAGCAGCTGTGGGCACCCATTAAATATCATCTTCCCTGGGATTTCAACTGTCCTGTTCTGGAACCACATTATTCTCTTCTTTTTATCCCTCCTCAAGAAAATATCGGGATCAATGAATTTCAGCAGCACAGACACCGAGATCCCTTTCGTGCGCTCAGCGACAAGCCTTGGGGACCACTTACTCAGATTATTGAAAGAACTTGCTCTAGGCAAATATTAGGACCCAGACACCCAGCTGATTAGGAATAGGAGAGCTTAAAAAAAAAATTAAAATTCCCTTTTCATCCAGATGCTGCATTCAGGGCTTGAAGTGACAGCTCGCCTGCTGACAGGAAGGTTTGGTTCTGCTGATGTCAGAGGGGAGCAGGCACAGCAGCACATACTGTTTATGCCTGTGTGATGTTTAACTGACAGAATCAATCTTCACTGCTTAGCGCTTCCACAGTACGTATCAGTTTCCTATTTGGTCCTTGGAGAAATCCCAAGCAGCATCAGCGAGCTGCCTTAAACCACCATTAGACGGAAATAAAAGGCAGAAGAACCCCAGTCCTTCACAGATTTACAAAGCTATAAGCAATGAACAAGTGATGCCCCATTTTCCAAAGCCCCTTGCACCGGCTCCAAGTGAGGAACCAGACGCTGATAACTCATACGGCACGGATGTGACAAACAGGAGGGAAGCAGCCATCTATCACGGCAGCTCCCGAAGCCTCCCAATAAAACAAAGTGCCAAATGGAATTCTAAACCACCGCTGGTGCTTTCGTGCCGCTGGGAAGCCACAGCATAAATAACAGGGCTGAAGGGCTCTGATCTGGGTGCACGCAGGCCGGTCTGTGCTGCTGCAGAGAGGAGCTGCTCGAGCCTTCAGGGATCCTCCACAGCAAAGCTCCGTCTGTTGCTGGAAGGATGCTCGAGTTTGAGGAGGGACCATTTCAGCTTTTCAGAAGAGCCTGAGTGCCACTGAATCACCACAATCTTGTTTTTTCTTCTCTCGTTTGGCTTTTATTCAAATGTTACCATTCCCTTTGCTATTAAGGCTAAAGCGGGGATCGATGAGGCCCATATGCTCCCAGCTCTGTTGCAGGAGCCCAGGACTAATTCCGATCTTGAGCCTGTCTTTGGGCCATCTGTTCGCAGCATCACACACGACAACGTCTCATTATGGCCGGGAATTTGCATAACCACTGTGGAGAAATTGTGTCCAACTCCATTCACACCAGCCACAATGGGTTTTCTCACACTGTAGGAAGAGGCTGGAAAAATGAGAAGCCAATGAGCATCACATCCACATTTCCTAGGAGGGGCCCAGCCAAAGAGCAGATTGAGGATCCAAGGCATCCCTTTGAGCTGCTTGGGCATCAGCAATGCCATCGTCCTCCACCTGTCCATCCCCTCATCCCGCTTCCAGCCGTGATCTGACACGCAGCAGCAGAGCTGTGCTGCAGGGCAGAGTGCCGGCGCCTCCAGCCTGCCTGCACACCACCTTCTCCAGGAGGTTAACACATTAATTCTCCCAACTATGACATCAAAGGCTTAAATAACAGCTCACGCTGTGGAAGGCTTGGAGCTACGCGGTGCTCACTGCAGCCCTGGGCCCTCTCCTGTTTGTGCTGCAGAGGAAGAGATGCCAGCAAGAGAGAGAGGGGGCTGCAATCCTCCAGCAGGCAGAGATCTCCTTGCTGGGCAGCAACCCTGACAGGGGAGACTTCCTTCGACAGCCCATTTGCAGTTTCTTACGCCGACTACCACTGCTGATATTTGGACAGCATCATCACAGCGGTGTGCCAGGACCTTCCCTGCTGCCAGAGCGGGCACGGGAAGGGAGCAGGCAAGCTTCAGCCCCAGCCCCACTCATCGTCCCCTTGGCAAGCAGGGAGCCAGCCTGGAAAGCCTCACCCACTGCCTTCATCAGCGCCAGGAGCACAATAGTCCTTTAACGATAATTACAGGCTTGTGCAGCTCTGCTGGTGCGCGGGGCTGGGGCTCTCTGGTACTGAGAGGTGCTGTTTAAGTACTCGAAAGAATGGCACTTAGCAGATGTCTTGGGGTAAATGGTAGGTTAAGCGACACCGAGAGCACTGGTGGAACGAGTGCTAATTTACACTCACATGATTCAATTTGCATGGTTAATTCTATTTAAAGCAAACATCCAGCACCCGCTGGAGCTCCGGAAGGACCACGGTTCTCATTTTGTCTTCTCTGCAATGCTTCGGAGAACAAAATGGTTGGAAAATAGATCCAGCCAACACGGATGTGCCACAGAAGAAGTTTCCTGAAGGCGTTTCCCCTGAAGAGAGAGCATCGTGTCTCTCTGCTAATGTCACTGTGCAGCCACTGCCCACTGCAGAAGGTGCACTGCCACAACCTGATGAGATCCAGCACGTGTCCTTCAGCCATAGCAATCGTTGAGATCCAACCTATTGCCCACATCAAACGTTCTCTCAGGATATGAAACTACCCACCAGGATGGGCACAAAGCCCAGCAGCAGTGCCAGGGAGAGATGCCAGAGATGCTTCTCTGCATCCGTAGGAGGAAGAAGTGTAGAGCATTTTAGTAATAATTTAATTACATGGGTCATACTATGTGTGGAATTGGAATATCTTTAATTTGTTCCTAATTAAGATTCTTGATAACTTACCATAGCACTATGGCTCTTTGCCACCTGGATTCTACTGTCCCTGTCTTGCCCCACACAGCCTTTTCCTTGAGGCTTTTCCCCTCCAGTCTGACACTGGAAGAATGGAAAACACTGATTCTGGTTGGTTCTTGGCAATCAACATTGCTTCTTAACTGAACAATAGCAGTTCCTCATCACAACACTTGGAGTTCAGCAGAGAACAGAAGGCCTGTAAACGTCCTGGATGAGCAGAAAAGCATAAATTACCTTGGAGATAATAAGCCAAACACAAACAGTATTTACGGCTGGTTAGAGCAGCGATGCAGAGCGTGCAGGAGAACACACGGGAGCGGAAGGGGAAGGCGTTCACACGTTATTTCTTTTCAACTTGAGAAATGTGAAAGCAAAACATCAAAAGAGGTTTCCCAGCACTGTCCTACAGAACATCCATATCAGCACATGCTGTGGTTTTCCCTTCCTTTCACAAGGCAGAGGAAAAGCTTTGCTGCACACCGGCAGCCGAGCCCAGGCGTGATGGGGGAATCACAGGCGGTGAGTGCTCAAAAGCAACGATCAGAAGAAATATTTCACACACAAGCAACGGGGCTGAAATCTGTCCAACCGAGAACAAATTTGTAAGATTCCAAGCTGGCACCTGGGCTATTTGTGAGCAGCAGAAGGAACCAAAGGCAGCAACTGAATTGCTCGCTGCAGAGCAGCTCGTGTGGTTTGAGTAGTTCCCCAGTATCACCAAGCCTCCTGCAAATTGCTAGGTAACTACGCTGAACAGAGCCAAAAATAATCCCTCCCGTGACTTGCTCTGACAGTGTTTGCAAGAGTGAAATAACAGTGTTTCTGCACAGAACAGCATGATACCAGCTCTGCAGGGCAGCACCAAAGCGGCTCCATCCATGGCACATAAGTGATGTGCTGGCAATGGAGGTGGCCAGGACGTCCAGGTTATGCCAGGGGCCTGGGCTCCTCCATGGTGGGAAGAGGGAGAGGGAAACACATGGACTTTTCAGACAATGGCAAAGCAAAGGCCAAAAAATGGGTTTTTCCAGTTCCTCCCCAGGAGCAGAATCAAATGATGCTGGGAACAACCCGCATCTTCTGACCACCAGTGACTCACGGGAAGTCCTTCCGAAATACTGTGTGCACCAGGGCTATAAATAATGCCCAGCCAGCTCCCAGGTACTGCTTGAAAAATGTCTTGTTATTGCCACGGAAGTTTAGGAAATTTCCTGATTAAATCAAAAAGGCGCCATAAATTGACAAAGTTAGAATTCTCTGGGATGAAAAAAGAAGCAATTTTGTCCCCTGTCAGCAGAATGGAAATGAACGGGCTGAATGAATTAGTGCACGATAAACTTTTTAAAAGCCAAGTTACAATTTAAAGCAGCAGCGAGAGCTGGGGAATGATTTAAGAGTTATAAAAAAACCTAAGCACCGCTCTATCGCTGTTCCATCCCAGCCTGCACAGCGCCCAGAGCAGCTGGGACACCTTCTGGGCAACACATCGCTGTTGGGTGACATGGCAATGCCTCTGGCTGATTCTGGCCACGAGGATGATGGCACCACTCAAGGTGCCTGTGGGGGAATCAGTCCCACCACCCCAAAATTGCTTTGCTTCTGGAGAAGGTACTGGCAGACCATTCATCAACGTTGACATGGGAGAAGACACCTGGAGGTGAGGAAGAGCACCCACCTTGCCTTGCCAAAGGCTGTCTGTGGGGGAAGGCAGGACATGCTCAGCTGGGGACAGCCCTGCCTGGCCCCCAGGAGGGTCTGAGCCCCCAGCACAGCCCCACGGTCTCACCGTAATTGCTTTGTGCAGCTGCCGGGCGCTTTATCAGCACCGTGAGATTTCCCCGGCGCCTCTCTGCTGCGCGTAACGAGATTAGCCACAGCCCCCCGACAAGGGAGGAATAATAATTGCCTTTGTTTTGTTTTCTGTAAGCCACAATGACTCTGCTGATCCGAGCGATTAATTCTGCTCCGCCGCGATAAACGGGTCGATGGCCATGTCAGCCGGGCCCCCCAGCCTGTCCTTCCCCGCCTGCCGAGGCAGGAACGCTGCGTGCTGGCAGGAGCCTTCCCAGCACCCAGCATGGGCTGCTCTGGCAGCGAGGATCCGCAGGGATTAATCCAGCCTTGGGTACGATGCTATTTTGGGGAGCTGGCAGAGTGCTGCGCATCGCCTGTCTAGCGCCTGGTCCAGCCTGGCACCACGGAGCCTCTCGTGGAGGCTGGGAAACTTCAAGGCTGAGGATGCTCAGGAAGTTCCACTCCAGCCCCAGGGGGAAAGGGAACACAATCCGAGCATTTCCTCTGGAGAAAGGCACCACGTCTTCTACGGCCACACTGCCCGAAGAGCTCAGCAGCTCCACTGGAATGGGATGAGCTTTAAGGCCCCTGCTGACCCAATCCTATGAGTTTATGAAGAGCTACCCAACCCTGCTCCGCTCCTCCTAGCTCAGCCTCAGGCCTGCAAGTCCACAAAAATGCAAAGCCCTGTTCCCCTGTGATGCCCTGCCAGGGTCTGGGCATTGCCCTGTCAAAGCCCCACTGAACTGCAGCCCCAGCCTTCTCTGAGGAGCTCAGGAGCTGCCCCCCAGGACACTGGTGGGGAGGGTGAGTGCTGCCTCCATCCTCCCTGCCAAACACAAGCGCTGGCATGAGTCAGTAATTGCAGAGCTCATTTTTAGACAACGCTGCAAATGTGCCTATTAACATCCGCTCCCATCTCCTCTGAGTGATTTACCTGGTTCATTTTATTCAGTGAATTAAACACAAAAATAACGGTGGTCTGCAGCGATCCCGCTATCGACCTGCTGGAAATGGGCAGCATCCATCACTCCCCCGCACAGCAGAGCTGTCTGCCCTCGGAGAAACACGGGCAGGGCAGGGGCTGCAGAGGGGCTGCTCAGCTCCACGGTGCCCATCTGCCTCCCCAGCAGCCAGGCATCAGCCCCGAGTGATTGTTTGGAGAATGAGATGTTTTATTGTCCAATTCTTGACATCTCTCGCAGCATGCCTGAGACATTAATGTTCGTCTAAATCATTGCTGAGTGTAGTATTTTGCCACTGATACCACACATAATCTTCACGTTTGATATTCCCCTGTTATCTAATGGCACTTTGCAGAATTACAGTGATGCTAATGCTCACCACCCTTACTGAAGGGAAAAATCAAATTAAAGATGAAGTATCATTGACTTTGTTGGGGGCTCTGAGGGAGTCAATTGAGCTTTCCCAAAAAAGCCAAGAAGGTAGAGATGTTTTTGTTAGTTTTTCTTATCCCCTTCCTCATATTTAGTGTAGTTTGTTTCAGTAGGATTTTTACCCCTTGCTGGCTTTCCTGTAGTAGATTTACTTCAGTAGAAGTGCAACGTGAACAAAGCAACACGGCTTTTTGCAGGTAAAATAGGGAAAATTTCCCAAAGAGGTGAAGACAGAGATGGCAAGGACATTCCACCAGCACTATCCACACAAATGAGGATGGAAAAATATCCCAGCAGGCACCATGGGTCTTGCTCCAGAGACCCCAATCTCTGCCCCACCCGCAGTATCAAGGGAACCTCTGGATTTTATCCCTTTAAATCAAACTCACCTATCCTGGACTTCCATAGGGGCAGGCTTTATGAAGCTGGAGACATGGTGGCATCCCTATGCCCTGCAATTGGAAGCTGCTGCCACCATTTATAGAGCCTGAAAACCTCTCTTTCGTGCATCATTACTTTGTTGAGAGCGTTCTCAAGAAACTCATAGCAAAATGCAACAAGAAAGAATAACTTCATTATCTGGCTTCGCACCCCTTGACAGCCAACCTTCCTCTTATTACAGATGGAAAACACTTTTTCTCCATGAATGGCCTGAGGCTTTACAAATTTGATTAACCACGGAAGGACTGCTGAAGGATTCGTGTTCACTGAGAGCTGTTGCATCATCTTCAGCCCAGAGCCAGCCCCAAGGATGTGCTCCCCCAGCACTACCAGTGGGCATGGGGTGGGCAGAGCCTGCAGCTGAAGCCATGTGCCAGCACCCCAGCACAGCTGGAGCTCCAGTGAAGAAAAGGAGCTTCACCCTGAGCAACCAGAGCCCGCACTCTCCGCTGCAAGAGTCGCACAACCTTGGGAAACCATGCAGACCACCTGCCTCCTCCTACCTGTGTCCATCCCTCCTGGCCTTTTGACACTGCAGCACATCTTGCTTCTCAATCAGAGCCTCTGGAGAGGAGGTGGAACACTTGCTGGCACCCCATTATTCCTGCAGCACAAAGGGTCACCCTGAATCTGGTGGTGTCACTGGTAACATGATAAGTACCCAGGTTGTGGTTTCTTTCTTCCTGCTACCTTCCACAGCACCCACAACAAAGCTGATCCCTCATTACATGGAGAGCAGCTTTATCGCTGCTGATTGCATTAACCTAATAACACCTGCACAAAGCAATCACAAAACAGACTGGAAGGTTTTGTGTTTGTTTGGGTTTTTAAACAAAGACCCTGTCCATGAAGTATTGATTAAATTAGAGGGTTAGATTAAGCAGTGATTGAACCGAGTGCCAGGGCTTGCAAGAGAGTCTATATACAGAACGCTGATGCTGAAGACCTCGAGGGAACAGAAAGGGTTTGGGAACACAGTTTGGATGAGAGGGGCACAGGATGTTCTTCAGAGGACAGCAGGACAAGCAGGAGCAGCTCAGCTGAGGCAGAGGACACATCCCTCAATCATAGCCACATCCATACACAGCTCAGTCACCCCACCCTTGCATTTGCAAGCTTCATCTCCCTAGGAAAAAGGAACCCTACAGGCTTTCCTTGATTTCAGCAGCTGGCAGGGATTAGGGTTAGGCACCTTTCTGCAGGGGATGCTCACCAGCTCTCCATGGCACCTGGCTTCCAGCTGGGCACAACTGAGGCACGTGGCATCTGCAGCTCACGAACTCTGCAATTGCCACAGGGCAGGAGCTCCTGTGCACCTTCCACGAGTGCCATTAGAAGGTGTTAAAGTGCTTTGGCAGCCACACTCTGAGCAATTGCTGCTTCTGTTTTTATCTGTCCTTGAGAAAATTCTGATCCCACATCAGAGATGGAAGTTGCATCATCTGGCTTTGCAGTGAACTGTTTGTTATGGTTATCAGCATCTCCTTTGCTCAGGCAGGGCCAGCCCTACTTCGATAAGATTGTCACCAGAAGACAAAAAAAAAAGCATCTTTTCAGCTGATACAAGTTGGCAGATCCCAATTGAAGTCAATGGATTGATTTTACCTTCCATTATCCAAGTACCTCACTGGAAACTGTAGCATCCAGACTAAGAAATTCTCTAAGAATTTATCATTTCTGATAAAGCAAAAAATCAAGGGAGGTTTTGTGCTTTATGATGAAATTAATATTGACACCTCTGTGCTTTACAGAAGGCTTCAAAGGCAGCAGTGCAGGCTCTCCTGTTCTTCCCACCCTGCTCAAGGCTCATGTACAGCTCTCCTGTGATAGTGCTCCTGGAAGGGGAGGATTTAGAAAATCCCTTGGGCTAACCAGCAGCTTTGCTATTAATCCCATGAGACCCAGGAAAACGTGTAATGTAACATTAGCACTTGTAATTCTGCAAAAACAAGCATTGACCCGACCTTGGCTGGAGGGACAGGGTAGCTCCTGCCCACAGCACTGCTTGGGAAGGTGCAGCTCCAGCTCAGGCTGTCTTCTCCTCCTCCAGCCAGAGCTCCTGGTGCTGCTGCCACCCCCAACACCCAGCCAGGACAGGGACAGTAGGGAGGCAGAGCCCCAGGCTGCCCATGGATCTACTCCACACCTGGAATTACATCCCTGCATCCTCCAGGCATGTCTGCCCACCCATCCCAGGAAATTCTGGCTGACTGATCCGCTGGGCTCCCACAGCCCAGACAGGGCAGAAAGGTGGGTACATCTGCCCAGGTAAATCAGGGCAGCCTGGCAAAGGGAATGAACTGCTTCCTAAAGGAGAGGAGCAGCGAGTGAGCTCAGGGCTGGTCAAATCTAGATGCTGCTGTTGGAGTGTAAATGTATCTGACAGGCAGCAGGCGGTGCCAGCTGAGGCTGGAGTGCCCGGGATTCCCCATCCAACAAATTAAAGTCAGCAATAGGCCAGAGGCTGACATGGCACTGCCTGCAGCCAGCGCTGCCCCGCAGGCGATGGGGGTGAGTGCTCCAGCCCAGTGGTGAGCTGTGCCTTGCTCCTGCCCCCCGTGCACAGCTGAATTTCTTCCAGAAAGACACAAGAAGGGACAGACAGGATTCTTCAAAGCCAGATCTTCCTTGCAGCCCCTCTCCCTGGTGCTGAGGTCCAGGGGCCACTTCCAAGTGCTGGTGGCACCGTTCCTGCAGCACCACCGAGTGAAGTGTCTAACGAAGATCTGGGGAGCACACAGAGCTCTGGTGCCACCTCCAGCCACTGAGGCCCACAGCTGTCATTAGGAAGCTGCTTTCCTTGCCAGTGCAGTAACTGATA